CGCTCAGGCGCTGATGGGCCTGACTTTTACAGAAACTTTTTATGAAATATGAAATGCATCATCGATTGCATTTGTTGTACCCATTTTTCGTTTCGTGATGATTTGTGAAATAATCATAACGAACGACTACACTAATTTACCTATTAGAGATTCAATATCCTTAAATAATAGTTTGTAAGGGAATGAAAAGTCCAGAATTTTCTCAAAGCAAATACTAATTCAAGACTTTATCAAGGCTACCCCATCAGCGGCCAAGCGGTAAACTCACTGAACAATGGTGTTTCGGTTCGTGGTAAGTCGTGACTAAACCACATGGGCGTTTTGTGGTTTTCTCCCTGTGTAAAGTGCATACGAGCCAGTTTTCTTTAGAAAGTCCTCCATGAAGGCATCCCTCACCTTAAGCAAGTAGCCCTCGAGTAATTTGTTTAATCAAATAAATCAAACCAAACCTTATCAAGACTCTGGTGACGGAACACTTTTAAAATTACGCTTTCGTTCGAATTTATCGGCCAATATTCGTTTTTATTGATTATATCTCATTAAGAGGTAAAAACCCTATCGTCTAAGGATTATTATTTGCCTCAACAGAAGAAAGAATGTTAATCAGAAATAGGCGCAACAAGATTTAATATACATTAAGTAATTTCTAATGGAAAAATTTTGCGATTTCTGCTTTTCAGTATATGTGATGGTCCCTTACAGCAGAGTCTCCTTGACTTGGGCGAACGAGTCACAAAGGCAGGCAACCTGAGCGGAAACGTTTACCTGCATACAAGAACGTGGAATTCTGTACTGCATCTTTTCCTGTTCCTATTGAGAAGACAGTGTAAGTAGAAAAAGCCCGAATCTCATGAAAAATGCACCGTGATAGTCCACTCAAATCGAAGTCTCAAGCGAAGAAAAACTATGATGACAAATTTGGTATTAGGAAAAATATAGTTGCAGCAAAATACGCAAAAAGACAAAGGATTGATAAACAGTCCTTAGGTATTTTGTATAGTTGTTGGCGGAAGTATTTCTAAGGTAACGTGTACAGATGGCATTCATCAGGTATGAACACTAAAGTATACAATATATCAGACGTAGTTTATTTTAATTATGGAAAAGCACGCGACGACTATCTGTCTAAGGTAAGGAATGGTTTCGTGGAGGATATTCTAAGGAAACTGGTTCGTATCCACGTTACACATGGGGACGCTACTACGCTCGTATCTACGAAATGCACATGCAGTCAGAATGCTTGCCTGGAATCGAACCCAGGTCGAACTACCAGTGTTAAGCGGTTTTACTGCTCTGATCCTGATGGGCCACAACAATACATCAGGTGTACAAATACTTCTGCACGCATAATAAAGGTACTTGTATCTTGTATATAATTCCTTTTCTAATTTTGATTATGCAACTTTACAACGTGTAACTAACGTACTGTAGAAAGTTTATGTAAAAATAATGAACAGGATTGAAATCTTTTCTAGACTTGTATCATATTATATCTTATCAATAATAATTTTTAATTTTACATTTCCGAACATATTTTAATCAATAATACAAATTTTTGATAATTTAAATCAAGACCTGAACGGATTCGACTTTTCAAATAAAACCTAAATTCGCTGTATCAAATAAATTACTTTTAATTACATTCAAGTAGAGGCGTTAATGTAAAATAAGCTTGCAATAGCTTGCAATTTTACTATTGTGGACACGGATAACTAAGTTTGTTTCGTGTCCATGGATCTTTTACTTTTACTTTCTTGATGACTTATAGCCAAAATTTGTTTCTTTATAAAGCTCATACGTAGCCTGGGAAGGTCATATGATCTTTGTGTTTTCCGCTAGACACAATAGCTTGCATGTAACAAAGCAAAAAGGAGCTATCATTAATAAGACAAAAAATATTAAATATTAGAAACAGTCAAAATGTAATTCTGTTAAGGGAATTTCTATTAATTTACGAACTAAATTCTGCTCTATTTCGTAAAAATTAATTCTTAAACGCTTCAGTTTTGAAACGGAGATCCTTATAAATACTACACTTCATCACAAATAAGGTAATTATGTAAAGCTTGCTTGTAAAGAAAGAGACAGTGTGGTTATTTTGATTATGAAAAAGTTCTCAAGGGGAAAGGAAGTCTTCATTAAGTACGTTTTATAACAGATTGGACTTCCTAAGGCAAATTCGCTCCTATTCACGTTACACATTGAAAAAAAGTTGTCAAATCCTCCATGTAGCCAACATTCGCCAAGATTTGAGCCCAGATTGAACTACCAACATTCAGCAATCTTATCCGCTCCACTATTAGTGTACAAGATACCGAAAAAGAGGAAAGCCCATGTAGCCGCAATACCTATCCATTATACTGAATATATCTAAATCATCAGATATCTTTTTTTTTTTTTTTTTTTTTTTTTTTTTTTTTTTTTTTTTTTTTTTTTTTTTTTTTTTTTTTTTTTTTTTTTTTTTTTTTTTTTTTTTTGTGACACAGCTATATTGAATAAAATGAAACTGAATTTTTTGTTTTTAAAAGAAAAACATAACTATATTTGGATTTTCTTAAAATAAATTCACGTATGAAAATTCTACTTCTTATTTAATAAGAATACTGCTACCATATGATAACTATAATTATAGTTTTCAAGTATATACGTCTTTATAAAAGTAGGCAAAATTCAGCTTTTGATTGTCATTATTTAATTAAAATCAAATTTGCATTTATCCAGTTTTCAGTTTCAAGATATAACTCTTTCCATGCCTCTATCTATATTTACTTCAGTCATTCATTATATTTCATGACCTGTGTTATCAGTAAATGTTTACAATGTAATGAGATATCAATTATTTTGAATAAATGTATATTTATTTGATTCCTTTTTAGCTCAAAAGGACAATTTGCCCAGATTACTGCTAGTACAATTTAGAAACTGAATTCTTAACCCGCGATGACTCCATTTACTGAAATTTTAAAGCAGCGATGAATTTGAATAGAAAGAAAGAAAGAGGAAATTCTACGCCAGAAAGAAGACAATTATATTATTTATTTAAGTTAAAATGATATGTAAAGACCTTATTTTGTTCTAAGCAATTACTTTTATTTTAAGAAATTTTCCTTTCCTTTCGATTTGAATTTCCTGCCAGAATGTAAGTTTAAATGACATATATGCAAATCTAAATGGGTTCGGAAATAGTATTTAAGTAGCAGAAATTAAGAGTTCGCAATAGGAGAGTTAGTTCTGAATTTATGCCGCTTGTTTTAAAGTAGCTCTGTAGCTGAATATTTGGTGCTATCGATATCCTAGACTCGGCTTTACAGTGTTAGATACTGTATATAGATTATATCGATATCCTAGACTCGGCTTTACTGTGTGCAGCCGATTAAGCGGTTCAGATTGAATCATGTAGATAAAATCAATTCGTGTCGCTAAAATGCAATTTGATGTGATTGCGCGTACTATTTTGTATTCAAGTTACTTAATTACAAGTGGTGGTTAATTTGTGAGCACCAAGTGAGTGTATGTTCAATTTAGTAAAATAAAAAGGTTTTTATAACTATCGTCTGCAGTCATCTGTTTTCTTTCAAGACATAGCGAGAATTCACTACTATGGCTTCAGTAGGGTCTACAGTTTATGCTCCCAAACAGAACAAGAAGACTCTACAGATATGCTATGATTATTTTATTGCTGTAAAGAACTCAACTTAGTCCTTTTATTTATAGTCTGTGCAAATTGCCTAACATTCCATTACCTAAAATGTTGCCTGCTCTATTATATTATTGCTATTTTATTTTAATTCAAATGGGAAAGAAACATACCAATGTATAATTTCGAAGCGATCAGACACAGGTCACTCTTCTTCAGAAAAAAAAATATGTCGTCATTTTTAATCTTTTAAAATTATTTTAGTAAAACACTAATCTAAAACTGATTACTTTTTTGCATAACGTTTATTATTTACGGAATCACGAGATAATATTATTCCTTATAAGCATATAACCCCCCTATGTTTTTCTGTAATCAATTAACTAGACAATGCATCCTGAACTGGTGAATTTGTATGATGATTCTAACCAATATATTTAATTTATATCAATTATAAAATTCTAGATTGCTCTGAACAACTACTTCTTCATCACTCGTGGTGTACACACTTCTTTATAAAAAGAGGTTACATTATTTGTTATTTTCTTTATTATACTTTGTTATTTTTAGTCCAAAGGGGCTTTGTCCCTGAAGGACTGTAGTTTTCGTTTTGCGATTTTGCGTGAATCACTATAAATGTCCGTTTCACTTTTCAAACTGTTGCTACCAAATGTTAGAGTCCTACATTATATTTGATGAAATTAAAATAATGAAAAATCTGCATAAATGTATGTCTATTTCTCGCATTCTGATAAAACAACGGTACATAGAGCCATCGAATTTTCAATGACGTAATCCTCCTACGAATATGGGCATGTGGAAGACCAAATTTGAAATTTGTTTTATGATCGATTTCATATTTTGTAAATCTTTAACGAATTTTTGATTTAACAAACTCAAGGATTTCAAAGCGAGCAATGGCAGCACTCTACGGGGGGGGGAACTTTTCATCTCCAGTGCGCGGAACTGTGTATCGGAAATTCTAAAGATATGCTCATTTTAAAATTATTTAGCGACATTGCTATTGAACTGAATTTTATGATTTAAGTGCAAAGAACATGATATTTAATAAATAAAGGTAACACAGAAAACGTTAAAAAACGCCCCTTTGGGTGTAATTTATAATCTGAAACCTTTCAGATTTTTTTTCATTATACTTTGTTGTTGTTACATTTCTGTTCACTTTTGTTTAAGCTTCTTAGAAAACACTTGCAAATGAAATAAATTACTTACTCGCTTATTATTCAGATGAAACTTTTCGGACTTTTTCTTGATCATCTATAAGTTTAGGGTTTTTTTACATCTCTCTCTAAAATATCAGTATAAACGGCTATTATTTTTTAAATAAATAAGAAAGCATAAAAATATCAAAAATATCACTTTATTTCAAGTCAATGTACAGACAAAGAATTGGTGAACCGAAGTGTTCCATGTGATCGATCATGAATATCACACTCTTCAAAAAGTCCATGCATAGACAAAGAATCAATAGATGATGGTTGGCGTGTAGAAGTAATTATCTTTCTTTCAAATTTTATAAAAACACCTGTAAATAGAAACATAAAAAATTAGAATCTACAATGAATTAAATTCAACAATATACTGAAAAATGATTTGAAACGTTTAGCTAAAATTAAATTTAAATTTGTGTCCGAAATACTATATGTAAAGCAAACCTTTATGAACATTATTTCATTTATATAAATTATGTTATTTTTATTTAGCGCTTTTAACGGCTAGAGCTATTCGCTAATTTAAAGTTCACGTAATTGGATTGGCTGTATGTGTGTTTTCGTGGATTTTTCACACGTAAGCTAAATGCAAGCCATTTTCGCTTAGAAAGTCTTCTATGAAGACATATCTTACCTTATGTACCTTATGTGCTTTCCCATAATTATCTATTTAACTATTCGACTTTTTGTTAAATAATTTGCTTACAAGACCAAACTGTGCTAATATATATTGGCATGGCATTCTCCACGGCTCGTAATAAATGCTTTTAATGAATATCGTCATTGAAAGAGTTGCTTACTATTTTATATTTACAGTATTAAGGATGTTTAACATATAATTAATATTAAGACTATATAGTATAATTCATAGTTTATAAAATGATGAAATTTTATAGTAATGTGTATGGATTTCATCATTTAAATTTCAGCAGTTATTTAATAGTACGTTAATTTAATCACAAATTAACTTAATAACAATTTACTTAGACTTTAAATAATTAAAAACATTCAAAAGTAACATCTCATTAGGAAAAAATACGTTTGTAAGTTTAAATAATCTTGATTGTGAAAATACTTCTCGTAACAGAGACATTACTTCAAAAAATGGCTAATGGATTGCAATATATAATATTGGAGAACTTAACTTTCTAAATAGTTATGAAATACGTTTAATGGCTTATCATTTGCCCACATGTTTAAAAATATAGTGGTTGATATCTCTCTACTTGATACTGATTTTAAACGAATTTAAATGATTGTATGCTAGAGTGTTTCCAAAATAAATCAGAATGAAAAGACAAAAAGAAGGAATGGGATAATGGCTTGCTTATTTTGAATTTTATCAAGAAACAATTTCTTGATGACGAGACAATAAATAGTTTACTAGTTAATGTACAGCATTTCTTAAGAAGTAAGACTAAAAACTATTGAAAGCATTCTTCTTATTATTTGGGATTTATTAGTTAGATAGAAAACGTGTCTAGAATTTAAAAAAAATGGTTCCACTGCAAGCTTTATTAGACTTCTTCAAGAAACCTATTAGTTATTTTCTTCAGAACTGGTTACTTAAACGAAAACTACTCATTTCCTGGTAAACAAAAAATTATGAAAAGTTAAAACTCCTTTTATAACCTTGAAATACACGCTACGCATGCTTATTAACTGCTTTAGTTTACTTTGTCCTACTGTCTCTTAGAAGATTCGAAAGAACATTTATATGCAAATGATTATTCTGAGCGTGCAGTAGAATTTCCTTGTAATTTGAATTGCGTTCTTAAACGGCAAAGAAGAATCTAAACTGAGAAGCACATTATCTTATGAAACTGAAACATTACTGATTTTTATTTATTAATGTTTTTAAATTAAATCGTTTTTTTATTTTGATGAATTAATTTTAAAAATGTTTGCAAAAATTTGTTTCTGAAATATGAATATTTGCATTTAAATATAAAAAAAGCATTCATCGAAGCTTAAGATAGATCTTTTCTGGTTTAAATTTTAGAGAAAAAGTATACAGCGATATGTTACTGAGGAGATATTTTAGTGATTGGAGGAGTTCGCGAAAAATACTGAAGAATTACTGAACTATTACCTACTTGTAAGTCATTAAATATATTTAAAAAAAGGCAAGTTACATTTTTTATGGTCTCTTATGAAGAATATATATATTTCTTCTTTTAGATAGTCTAACTTTTGAATTCTTAAATCCGTAATTTTGTTTCCGATTTTTATTTCAATTACACGTTTCTTTTTTTATTACGTAACATTGTAAAGGGAAGCTTTGCGCGAGTTATAAGCAGTATTTTGGATAAAAGAACTGTACATTATTTTCGTGAAGAAATTGAGGTGAATATACAAGATCTGTAAAGAATGAACAAAGGTATACTGTGCCTGAGACTGATACATGTAGTAAAAGCTATTTATTCTGTAAAAGCAGCATTAACGCTTCAAATATTGGAAAAATTTAAATAATTATTTCTTCAATATATATTGATATGCACAAACATATTTTTTTCTGCACATTTTAAACTCTGCATAAAGTTTAAATATATAGCGCTAATTTGGAAAAACTGATCACCACTACAAAATATAAAAATAACGTTTCCCCTCCAAATGTAGTTTCCTCCTTTGCTCTTTCATGAAGCTCAATGTAAGCCCATTTTATTCCTATAACTACAAGTTATATTTAAATTTTATTTCTATTTTGATGAAATGAAGCATATGATTTAAAAAAAAACAGAATTGAAATTAATATTTGTATTAATGATTTTCCCTACTAGAAATGATAAATCTCCTTTCTCCTAAAACATATTTTCTACAGATATTTTTAATTTATCTAAAGTGAAAACATTTATGATTAAAAAATTATTAATTATAATTTAACTTCTAGTTCGACAACTTGATGAAAGGTTCATAGATGGCAGCACTAAAATATTAAAAATACAAAGAGTAGCTAAAACAGTGCTTCTGTTTGCTAAGAGATGGCAGCACCGCCAAATCACACTAGTAATACATTTCATCTGCGGTTTGAAACTCGCTGCTGAAATACACGTTGAGGGAAATTTATCACATAGAATGCAATACGTAGTTTTAAAAATGTAACCTGAATTCTCTTAAATATTATTAAATTTATGCATACAACAAGCTTTCATATAAATCGTACATTAAATATGTAATCTGCATACTTGCCTGATTTAGTTTTTGGCTTTCAGTGGTATATATCATGCTGCTTATCGTCCTTTGCCATAGCCTCCATGGCCACCTCCATATCCTCCTCGTCCTCCTCCGCCACCTAATTTTCCACCGCCTCCATAGCCTCCATGGCCACCTCCGTATCCTCCTCGTCCTCCTCCGCCACCTAATTTTCCACCGCCTCCATAGCCACCACCGCCGTATCCTCCTCTTCCACCTCCACCGCCTAATTTTCCACCGCCTCCATAGCCACCGCCTCCGCCGCCGCGGTGTCCACCTCCATATCCTCCTCCGCCGTATCCTCCTCCTCCTCCTCCTCCACGTTTACCACCTCCATATCCTCCTAAACCATGTCCACCACCACCGTAGCCACCTCCGCCATAACCGCCACCACCACCATACTTATTGGCGGATGCTAGCGCCAACAGAGCTAAGAATACAATTATCTATGGAAAAAAGAAACGATAAACAAATTATTAAAAATATTTAACTGGAGAAATTACATCAATTCATTCACAGTGATTCAAGATATTTTGATGAAACCATTGTAATAAGCGAAAGAGGAAATAATGCGCGCCAAATGAAATCGTACAGTATGCAAGATTTAATTAATTTTGTATTCATTATGATAAATTCATTTATACAAGATTGTCATCAAATAAATGTGATTTTACAATATAGAAATATATCTCTCCAATTTCACAAATTTTTAAACATAATTTTCTTACATGTAACTTTCAAAGACTGTAATCATTTAAAGCACAAAATTTCAGTTAAATTAAATATATGGCAGGATAAATACTCATTTTTTTTTTCTCCTTTTATCTTTTCTGACTTTTGTTTACTGTAGATCCTTATAAAATAACTCTTCCTTTTAGACTCTTCTCTAGCTATACTCACTCATTCAGGATTTGAAGTTTGTTTAACCCGCCACCAGTTACGTTAAGAGTTTCATTACTTATTTCAGAGAAATTCTAATAAGTTATTAATATTATTTCAGCTCTTTCATATTCATTCCATTCTAAAGAACATTTATTTTTATTATAATATTAATCTGAGAAAAAGTAAGAATCATTAATCATCAGTAAAACTTATTAGCTTGTTCAATTTTGCTTTAACAATTGTTAAAAAATGCATAGCTTTCAATTTTAAGATTCCACACAATGTTTCGTCTAGCAAATAATTTTTTCGAAGACAACATCTTTTAAGTAGAGGCTTCTGACCATAAGAACAGTAAGTTGTGTGTAATTCAAGGGAGCGAAACTGTATAATTTTTTTTTAATATCGGGGGAAACACTTTTTATTTCCTTCAGACATTGTAATCTTAAAAAATTTAGCATCAGTTATTTTAATGATATTTTAACATTCACTTTCAGTCTCTTTACCAAATGTAGTCATTGTAGTATGAATAAATTTAAATAAAAGTTTTTTAATTTAACCTAATTTTTAATTATTTTAAACGAAACTTTTTTCTAAACTATCTGAGATGTATCACCGTAAACTGTACATATGCTCCATGTTTACAGGAAGGAGATGAATAAAGAAATCTAGAGAAAACATAAACGGAGCGAAAGGGCGGAAAGGATTGATTTAAAGTAAAGGGAAAAGGCATAAGGAAGGTAAGCCAAAAGTAAACGGAGTATGAGAAACACGTTATAATGAAAGCAAATCAGTGGTTTTATTTATTCGCACAAATCAAAATTAAATTTTCTCATGCAAAATAAAATTTTCTCATGCGAAGAAAATAGTTAAACAGCAACCAACTAACTAAAATAATGATAACTATACATAACTTATATTGCATATAACTCAAAATTCAAACTGTTTTTTTTTTCAGTGAAAAGTTTTGAAATTTTTCACTTTCACTTTCATTTACATTTCTTTCAAATGCACAATATTTAGGAAATTTTTGGAAGGATTGAAACTGCTATTTCTACCACACATTAAACAGTTATTCTAGGGTCGAGAAAAATTCCCCAGCGTAAAGTAAAAAATATTAAAATATTAAACAACTCATTATATTTAGAATGTTAAAATAACTTCGATTTAAAATTTCAAATTTTTATTTAATACAAATAATACAAAAGCACTTTCCAACCGATATTCGAACTTTCACAATTTTTATTAAAAATAAAAAAATTAATTCAGCCTTAAATAATAATATCATTGAATTAAATTTTAAATATTAGTTGGAAAACCTCTAATATCCATATGTATGGTAAAAGTACTTATTTTTATTCCTTATATGAGACTATATATTTATATATCTAATATTTCCTTATATTAGATATCATTTACATAGTCTAATATAACATTTTCTCAACTCATAAAAATTTAAAAGTCAGTGATTAAATTACTGTTTGCATTTATATAGAAAAATTCAAATAGAAGAACTGAATTCGAATCTTATCCTCAAATCCACTTGCAAGACTTGCTTATTTACACTCTGTTAGTTAGGATATTACAAATAAGAATATTTAAGAATTTGAATATCTTGATTAATATGGATAGATATTTAAATGATTTGAATATCTATGAGAATTTTTTGTTATAATACTTCATAATTGATTAAGATATCATTTCTTTACGAAGCTCATTTAACGTTCCCTCATCACCAATTCTGAATTGCTTTTGTACTAATAAAAAGACAGGTTTTCATTATTTCAGCCTGTAATTTTTCTTACTGATAAAGATGAAAAATGTATCAACAAATGGCAATCAACCTGTATGAATATATACTTCTAAAATTCCGTCATAATGAAAATAATCTATTTGCTTTAGTATTACATAGTGAGCATAAAGTTAAAAAACTGATAATGCTTTTAAAATTCAAATTTAATTATTAATATATCAACTGGTACGGCAGAAATTGAAAGCGAGGTGGATATATTACAGAATGACTCATGGTGTAGAACAGAATACGAAGTAATTCATCATATATGAAACACGTGACATGCAAACCTATGCAAAAGATGTTTAAATAAAATAAATATTTTTAAAAAAATGCAAACAATAAAATTTCTCTGCTTTTCTTTGATAGTGCACAGCACATTATTGCAATTAAGGTAAAACAAGCGTTTCTCTTTGCGTCTTCATTTTTTTTGGGGGGGGAGAATGGAGTTTTCTAATACAACATTTAGTTCTTCAGTTAATAATAAGACTATCTGATATGTGAACTTCCAGCTGGGAGATTTTCTGAAAGCATTTCAGAATCAGATAATTGCTCATATTCGAGTTAATACTCAAGCTGATCGCAACAGGTATCAAACGAATGCTACCTTGCAGTTATAACAGGAGATAATTCTCAAATTCGAATTTATTGGAAATGTACGATTTTAAAGCGTGTGAAATAAAATTTAAAGAAAATGACTCACCCACAACTTCATGATTAGTTCTTGGTAGGAACTTAAGTCTTTGTAGAGAAGGCAGGTTCTGAAGCAGGTGCCGAAAGTTTGGCTTTTTATAGGGGTTCCATCAAGGTAGTTTCGAAAGTTGGGAGTTCCTCCCCCCAATCATCGACGAGGTCACCTGATGTCATCCCCTCCTTCCCACTCAATGAATGCAGAAACGTGATGCAACTCCACAATCGTCCACCGAAGAACACAACTAACAGTTCTTCGCCATTTCACAAGGCTTAAACAGGTTTGGCCGGCAACAGACCTTTCGAGATGGGGTTCCATCAAAAGTTTAAAAACCTCCCCTCTTCCTCTCCTTACCATCCCTCATCGAAAGTGAGGTTGCCGCATCAGTGAAGTTTCAATCGGCCTTGGTCCCGCTTAACGGCGCATCTCGTTGTCGGAATTAGCCATGAGAATGAAAATGGGGGAAAAGGATATATGATTACATTTCCGTGCGTTTCAATGGAACTGTTTATTACCTGTTGTAATATACTAATTATCTTGTTTTTGGATGCTTTGAATTAACAATAAAGTATTGTAAACACACAAACCTATCTTTAGAGAACCTTGCAGGAAAGCAGTTCTGAAATCATATCAATTTTCGGATCTTAATTAACAAGAATAAAAGATTGCTTTTAAACAAGAGCGCAATATACTTTTATTTTAGAAGGGCTTCAAAGCAGTAGATTTATCAATATAACACTTTTTTTTTATTCGTTCATTGTCTAAGAGAAATATGTTTGATTCAGCAATTCATAATGCTGCCATTATCAGTCTAGACAAAGCATTTTCTTTTTATAAAACAATATAATTAATTACCTGGGATGGAATTCTTAACGCAAATTTCTTTTATGCGTAAAGTTTTTTCCTTTTCAAATCATCGTTAGTTTTAAGGTTGTAGAGTCATTAGGTTAATTGGAAGCAGAAAAGATGAAAAATATGCAACCGCCTTCGCCGGGAATCGAACCACGGACCTCTGGAATACCGGCCCAGCGCGCTACCGTTACACCATGAAAACACGTTAGGGAAGTGGGAGAAACACCTTATATACTTCCCTTTTTTAAGGGCTACTAGAGTTTTAGGGGTCCTAGTCGCCAAATCCTGGGTGCGAAGAATCATCATCCACAACCCTTTTAGTTCGGGCGCCACTTGTAGAGTCATTATGTTAATTGGAAACAGAAAAGATGAAAAATATGCAACCCCCTTCGCCGGGAATCGAACCACGGACCTCTGGAATACCGGCCCAGCGTGCTACCATTACACCACGAAGGCACGCTAGGGAAGTGGGAGAAACACCTTATAAGGTACAGAAAAATAATTATGATTTCAAGTACAACAGGATTAGCATTTTAAATAAGTCATTTTCCCCACATCAGTGTCGTGAATTTTAATTCTAGAAATATCAATATTGTTTGTCAACTTGTTTGACATAAATCACATATCGACAAACAAATGGAAATCATACACTATATTTCCTTTATAAAGTGAGAATAAAATTTTAAAAATATTAAAGTAAAATAAATTTTAGCTTTTTAAAGGAAAGGTAGTTTTTATTACCAAATATTCATGTATGTATTGTCTCATATGTTGACTCTCATATAAGCGCGTATGTCTCATATGAATTAACGTAGGCTTTGAATTTCTTAATTAAAGTAATGTGATTTGTTTTACATTTATATTTTTGAGCAAGCAAAGTGTTTGAATCAAGTGAATTTTTCAATTTAGGTAGTAACTCAATCAGCAGTTCACAAATTTTTCTGTAATTTTTTAATATGAAAGTTGCTTTACATTTTAAGACTTGGTAAATACTTTACATAGCAAATGTTTATACGTCTAAAATTAATTCTTTGCTGTCTTACTAGATCGTATGAAACAATAATTTTCCCACTAAACATTTGTGAATTCTGAATGCTCTACGCCCTCAAGGAAAACACAGTATTACATTTTGCAATGAAAACTTACTCGTCATAAAAATTTAGTTGTGATAAAAATAAAACTTTAAATTATTTTTAAAACGAACACGCTTTAAGACTTTGGACAGCTGAAAAATTATATTCACATGATTTAAATAAGAATACTTCGTGGATATTTCTGTTTGGCATAGGATGCCTTTGGGGAGAAAATTTTAAGGGAAACTTCCTCGTACTTATGTTACACATGTGACAAGAACGGAAACTTTCATGTCCATTTATCGGATTCGAACACAGAGAGACGTTTCATCACTCTGTTGCTTGTGGGCCGTATAGCTACGAAAGAAAAATAGAAAGCATTTTAAATTTTTGGATGGAAATGAGTTTAGGACTAGTAATGAAAAATTACATCTAACTTTTCTGTCTTTTATTTGTGAAAAAGGGGCATCACTTATACGACTACGCACTTTAAGAAACGAAATAATTGAAAACACCTTTTTTTTCCGTAGAACATATGATCTAAAATATATTTTTTTAAATTATAGAATATTAAGGAGATAGACAGCGCTTGATCGAGCAAAGCGTAGGAGCTGCCCAAACACATGAATGACACAGAAAATGAAGAAATAAAACTAGTTTATTTTTCAACAATTATAACAGTTCGAAAGCTCGAACAGTAACTGCTCGAAAGAGCAGCTTTTAACACATAACGGCGATGGAGAGAAATTAACAGACTCTCTTGAACACACTAGTTCATCGCACACAACTATAAAACCAACTAACGTTTTGCTTCCTCATTAGATTCAAAGGTAATCTAATAGATGAGGCACTTGAGATGTCCACATACACAAAAGTCAGGCAAAAGCAGATTGGGCCATCGTAGAGGCCTGGATGTAGAAATGTCCCACCTAGTTTAACAGCTCGGAAAGGCGAGAAGGATATAGTGTCTTATGTCTTTTCGAAAGCAGATTGGTGCTGTAACGCGCTGGAACACATAATCCGCCGGAAGGCTGCTGAAATTCTCCAGCAATTGCTGCAAGACATCCTGCAAGAAACTGCAGTACTTTGCCCTTGTAGAGTTGCATATCCACTTTGTCCCTAGTTGTATGTTGATACATAATCTCAGAAGTCTGAAGCTGCAGTGACTTAGGTTAGTATCGTTCGGTTTGGTTTGTTGAAATTGCGGCAAAGCCCTTTAAGGCTATGTGCCTAAGGGGAAGAAGGCCTTTGTGAACGACTTTCCAAGGGAACTGGCTCTTATACACGTTACACGTGCGGAAAATCACGAAAAGCCCATGCAGTTAACCCATTCACCTAGAACCGAAACCAGGTCGGCAGTACCAATATTCAGCGACTTTACCGCCTGTCCACCAGTAGGCTCTACTAGCGCAGTGGGACTGCGCTTTTTATTCATTTTTAACCACTCGTTCTCTAACAAAAATTGTTTCGAGGCTTCGGTGCGTTTTACTATCTCTTAGAATTTGTCCCATCTTTTTCTTAAACATCCTGCATATGGAAGCTGTATGATTGCTTGCATAAAGGGCTTTGCAGAGAAAAACTAGCAGCACTAGACCTAAAAGGAATCGCAAAATCCTACTCAGCCATGCCTCTGTTCATTCTAACGACATTTGAATCTTTTAGAATTTGTAGCTTATCTGAGGCTTTAGCCACTCTTCTTTGGAGCTGATATATTCAGATAAAAATGTATTTGATACGTGAAATACTTATGGGATTTTTATGTTCTGATATAATGAACGTATGCATTTTATTTTCCGGCTTCATCAAACACACAAAAATAAGAAATGCGATAAAATATGTTAAACTAATTGTGAAAGTGTTTTAATATCAGGGTTTTAATGCTACATTATCGTCTATAAATGACCAATGCAAAGTCAGTGATGATTTTAATATATTAATAATTAGCTTGTGAGCACATTCTTAAACTTGTGAGCATAAATATCTACTGCACCATTTCTTTAATTTTTCTTTCCTCGTAAATATTTCTCTGAACTAAAATTAAAGTCTGGCGTAATTACAGAAAGCTTCAAATTCAAACCCTTTCCTAATTTTATTTGCATTCACCATTCTTGGAGCCCACCAGTGGCCGAGCGGTAAAGTCGCTGAACACTGGTAGTTGGGTTCGAGGTTTGAATCCCACGAGTGGGCTGGGTGCATGGGCGTTTTCGCGGTTTTCCCCATGTGCAAAGTGTACAAGCTAATTTCCCTTAAAATGTCCTCCATGAAGGCATCCCTCCCCTCAGGTGGGTAGCCCTCGAGGCTTTGCCGTAATTAAATAAACCAAACCAAACCATTCTTGGAAATAAATGCAGGCAACCTTTGCTTAGCGCGTTTCTTATTCCAATGAGTCTTGCAGTTGGCAAAAGTTACCAATAAACTCGTTTTCTTGAAAACAGTACCAGCAAAAGAATCCGTCAGTGTTAAAAGTTATATATATGCTCAAGATATTTCAATCATTGAAGATATGCGGCCATTAGACAATAAAGGATATTGTAAAAATACAATTTTTGAAATAGCACTTGTAGCCATTAATAATAATTTTTATGTTCAATGAAAAAAAATGTTTATATATTATTAATGTTATTCAATTTTTACTAATTGTTTTTGTTTTGTAGTTCATATGTTACCGACAAAGCATGAAACGCCGACATTTTATAGAATGCCTAGGAAATGTGTGAAATATTAATCGTTTCATACCCTACCGGCTAGTTTTAGGCATTATACACAATGCCTAGACATTTTATGGTTTTATTACCTAGACATTATTATTTTATGGTTTATTACCTAGACATTATTATTTTATGGGTTTATTACCTAGACATTATTATTTTATGGTTTATTACCTAGACATTATTTATTTTATGGTTTTATTACTTAGACATTTTATGGTTTTATTACCTAGACATTTTATGGTTTTATTACCTAGACATTTTATGGAATGCCGGATTTCAAACTTAAACCGGTAATACGTATACTTTTCAAATGAATTATTTTTTAAACAAAATATTTTGCTGAATAGGTGGAGTTAATCAAAAAGAATCGTTTTTAATTAACTTCACCTATTCAGAAAAATAACTTAAAAACATTTTTCATTTGTAATCTGCGTTCTGGAATCTATACACAGATTCCTTCTACACCTTTTGCATCACAAATTATTCATTTGAATACACGTGTACATTTTTTATCATAAATAATCTAAATCCAGAATAATCTCTTTGTCATCTCTTTCCACTCTGGAACCAGTTTTACTCATTCAGAGAC